TAGTCCAATATGATGATGATCTCTGAAACGTTTGTAAAACATTATCGATAAATAAGAATTTATTATTGTAAATAATCATAAAACTGAATTGATTTAAATTTAAGAAACATGTTGATAAAATTATGTCCCATTCGTTTTCAACAATAACACATACTGTAAAAGGAGAAAAAAACAACTTTTATAAACTTCTCATTGTACTATTAGTACATGGTTTTATCACAACCACTTTACTTTTAAATAAGTTGCAATTCGTATCCAAAAACGTTTTCTTCTTGAAACACATCAACTTCAACTTTTTCGATATATTAGGCATCACGTTTTTTGAAATGTCTTTCTGCTCCATATTAATATACTGTCAAAATTCTTTCATGACTTTGATTTACGTCCACAACGCTTGCTTGCATACTGACTATGCCTACTTTTCTTTGCTAGAGAAAATAAGTTGATTGAGAAGTTCAACCCTTAGTTTTGATTTGACTAAAAATGACTGGTTTTCAAAAGAAGATTTCTTACGAGGTAACGTTTTCCGTTGAACTCGTCCGATTTCGTTCGGTCATACGTCATTCGATAGAGTATATTAGGATAAGAGAAAGCCTGAAAGAGTTCGGACCCATGGCTCTTGAAGATCCCGTTTTCAGGAAAACCAATTTTTCAAGAACTCTGAAAAATTACCAAAATCTTTCTTAATGAGGTATAATTGTAGATCGCAAATTTCTGATTAAAATGAGATATCTCCCAGCTCTTCGCGACCTTTCTTTACAAAGTTATACCATTTACACGAAAAGCCCTGAATGTTCATTGTCAGCTCAAGGCTACAGAAATAAGAAATTATTTAGGGCATTTCGCGTAAATTCTATAACCTTGCAAAGAAAGGTCGCGAAGAGCTGGGAGATATCTCATTTTAATCAGAAATTGCTATAGGTGTTATCCACAAATCGAAAAAGAAATTTCTCCAGTGTGTCGTTACCGAGTATTTTCACACATGGGTAAAGCTCTGAAGCTAAAAGACAGCCTTGCGAAAAACGAAAAAATAAGTTTTGATACTGTTAAATGCGTTTTACTTAAAAACTAATGCAGCGTTAAATGATTTGTCGCTACTCTGCTATAGGTTATCGGTCATGGCGGATCTAATGAATCTGTGCGCAGACATGCGCGTACTTATATAATGCAACTGCAGAAAAGTCATGTTTTTTGCTATAGGGATTCTGGAAAACTCGCTCAAAACCTATCCTATCGACACAACAATTCTGCCCAGAGGGGCGGGATCTTAAATTTTAAAACTTTTGTTAATAGATGAAAGATGCAGTTTGACAAAATAGAAAACACACGCACATACAAACATTTTATATGCTATATAGTAGACTTACAGTCATTAACAATTACATTTATTAATTCTAATTTTTCAAGTTTCATAAATAAAAAATATTTAATTAATATTTTAAAATCAGAAAATAAAATATTTTTTAATATAAAAGTTTTTAATTGTGATAAATTATTATTATTGGTTATATTCAATTCTTCCCAAAAATGATCATCATACATTTGTTGTATGTCATTCATAATATAATAATTAAAAGTAACAAATAAATATTCTATATTCGGTAAACAATTATTTTTTAATAATATAATTAATTCAATACATGATTTTAATGATATTGTTAATGATGTTGTATTTAATAACGTGTTATAATTATTATTATTAATGTAATTAAAATGATCTAATAGATCATAATTCTGATAGTGCATTATACCTAAAAAAAGACATGAAACAGTTATGGTCATTAACTAATTGTTCATAATTCCTGACTGATATTAACTGTGATAATTGAAGGACAAATTTGTAGACTATTTAATTTTACAGAATGGCTGTTCCCACATTCGAAAGTGTTATCAACAAGCTACTGTCACTTTTGCAAGTGTCAATTAAAACCTATTACCACTTAGCAGCAAGCACCTATTGCCACTTATAAGTGTCATTAAGGGACTATGACATTAAGGGGCTCTTGGCACTTACAATAGTAATAATCTAAAAACCTCCATACCTCTTCGATGAGGACCAAATAACGTTGGATCCTGATAGTAGGTACTGTGAGCTATCTGATGATGTGTTTTGCTCAATATCAACTTTTTATAAAAAGTCATATGTTTCTGAGGAGGGATAGGGGCTTAGGCAGAAGCTGAGGATGTGAGTATATAGAATATCGCATGGTTTCGAATAAAAGTCTTCTTTTGATTGCTCATTTTCGAAGAAGAACAAACGTACTGGCTCTTTTTAGCCCCAGAAGGTTATTATAAGGAACTCCAACAGACTTCATGCGATTTCATTGGACTCCATGGGACTTCAAGACTTCAGGGAACTTCGAAGTCCTGAAGTCCGCTTTTCCCCCCTTGCAACAGGTCCTTATTGAAGTGGCAATAGCTGCTTGCTGCCACGTCCGAAAGCGGCAATAGTTTCTAGTTAACACTTCCAAAAAGTGGCATTGGCTTCTTACTGACACTTCCGAACATGGCAATAGTATCTTATTGACACTTCTGTAAGTGACAATAGATCGATCCTTCTTTTTACTGATGTTGTATGCGGAACGTTTCTCGTGTATATAATATGTATGCATACAGATAAAATGATCGCCGGGCATTTCTCTTACGGTAATGAAAATAAACCTTTTTTCTTTTTGTTTGCGATTGTCACAAAATCACAATATATAGATCAAGAATGTGAATGAGTGAATGACAGTAATAGATTTATGCGAAAGAGAAAAGTTTAGCAGGCAGATAGTAGGACTGTAGCAACAAATGTAAATGATAAAACTTAGGTCAAAAAAGTTACATTTTACATTTACAATCTTCTTTTTATCAGCTTTGTTCTGGCGCAGCTGATAAAAAGAAGATTGTAAATGTAAAATGTAACTTTTTTGACCAAAGTTTTATCATTTACATTTGTTGCTACAGACCAAACATATATCTTTTCTCAAGAGTAAGAAAATATATATCTCGTGAAGCAAAAGAGTAGCCAGATGGACGTAAAGAGAAATAATACATTCTCCTGTTTCAACATGCACCATCATTTTCTTATTTTAACCATAGTCTACATTTAACAGTCCATAAACAAAGCTTTTGCACGTGAACACATCAGTAATATATTCGTAAGTTTCATTGTTTTTCCTATGGGTTAGCAATCTATGGCATCGTCCTTTCGTCATTGATATCGCCTTAACAATCCTGTAGCCTTCACTTAAAAGCCACATTCCTATATTCAAAATTAAATTCTGCTTTTAGCTGTGCAAAAATAGTAATTTCAGAACCAGCTTTAGCCTTGAAAAATTAACATAAAAATAGATACTGCATCGAACACTTTTTCAGTTTTAGGATTTTAACTTTTGTATATATTTTTATTTTCTTCAAGAAATCAGGTTAATATAGCTGAATCATTATAATCAGCGGGATGATCCAAATGGTTAATTATCCGTCTCTCCCACCAGGCTGTCTGTATGTTTATGTAATGAAAGTGCCTCAATCAGCGGTTTGATGTAGATCTTAGAAGTCTCTATGTGACAAAGGTGCGTACGTAATGAATAGTCACTCGGATGCCAGAAGGTAAAGACTTTTCGAGTTCGAGGCGAAAATACTGACACCATAACCAGCTTTGACTTCATTTCTTTCTCTTCAACAAATAAGTGACCATTTAGAATTTTCACAAGAGATAACAAATAAACGCATTCCCATTCACGCACATTAGTAGTAGTTGCAGCAGTACCGTCGTCTCTGACAACCTATACTTTGCTGAAAATACATGAAGCCTTTTAAGAGAAGCACATTCGTTCCTATTCAAGATAACAATAGTTTGACTTTTGAGGAACAAAAGAAAAAAGAAGCGTGAAATCTAACTGGATAAAAAAAGTGAGAAAAAGTTCAAAATTTGTTCGTTTCTTTTTCTACAGTGAAGGTTCTTTTATTTTGCCTGTTAATGTAACTATTTCTTTTAAATGATGATTTTGTTCATCATGTTCGTTCTGTAAATAAGTACTTTCAATTGTTATCATCTTCATTTCATTATTTAAAAAACACTGTTGACTTGCTCGATCAATGACTTCAGAAAAATATTCATTGAGATTTCGTTTAAATGAATATACATATTGTTTAATCTTTTCTTCAATGATATTTATTGCATAAATCACTAGCATATGTTTTGTTTCACTTAATAATATCGTCGATAATCCCATGTATTGTTTTACATAACCATATTGATATATAATTAAATTTTCGTTATCAGGATTATTACGACAAATAACAGTCAAATCCGTACAATAAGTTTCCGACGTAGTGTATCAAAATCCGATTTTTCATTTAACTTTAAATTTAACATTGTTATATGTTCATTCAGAAATTTTATAAATTCATTTGAAGTTTGTTGTGCAGATGTTCGATATCCTTCAATAGCACTGGAAATACGCATCATTTGTGGATCCCCTAACGTACCACCTAGCACACATACATATTTTATTTTGTTTATCGTCTTGTTCTTGTGTACATTGTATAATATCTCTAATGCATTGTTTTAACTTTTTATGAAAGTTTTCATCTTCTGTTTCACTTGGTAATTGTGCTCCTGTCACATGCGCTATTTCAACATTTGAGAAATTTGCAAACCAAAAGCAGAACGTTAAACAGGATTGGACACCGGATGTTGATATGATTTTTGGATTAATTTCCGGATCTTCATCCGGGCTAACATTTTCAATTAAATCGTCTGCTGTTACATTCATCATGGTACTAGTGACTAACTTTGACTTCATATCAGATCTAAAAAACTGCAAAAAAACAAAAAACACGTGCGTTTTTGGTACTGAGAGAGACAAACTTTTTTCTCTTTCCAAAACTTTTAAATACTTGTTACAATAAAGAATAGTTTGTCAAACACACAGACTACAGTAGTCTCAGAAATTCAGTTTTACCTTGCATAAGTCTAGAAATTCATTTAAAAAACGGCGACGAAAAGAGAAAAAGAGAAATGTATGTGTGTGTTTTTAGTTATCATTACAATAGCCACAACTAGATATATATCTTTCTGTACATGTATTAGAATAGATTCTTTTTTTGGCAGAAAAAAATTATATGAGCATACTAGGATCACTATGAAACGAAAACATCATGCAAAATGGACTAATTTAGAAATAGAGAAAGACAAAATAGTTTTCATTTTATTTTGACACATATCAGTCTTCTTTGATTGGTATTTTGTACGTTAACTATAGCAAAGAACGAATACAAAAAGAAAGTGAATAACAGGCAGTTCATGACCAAGAAGCAAAGTAATTTTAGTCATACGTATGGGGGTTTTGGGGCGAATATTAAACATCAAAGGTAGCTTAGTTGCTTTAGAAAAAAACTCTGATGATATTTACTTTTACCATATTTATAAGGAAAATACTATCCAACTAAAATTCATGTGAATAAGCATATCTTGTAAACAATTTAGAAACACCTGAATGTATTTTTTAACGATGTTATCACTCTTAGGAAATACTGAGCGTTCAGGAAGAAAAGAGCTGAAGAGTTTCGCTTCACATTACTTCCCCCCCCCCATTGGGATAATAATTATTCTATAACTAGAAGTACTCATACATTGTTTTTGCAACTACTCGTATAATTCAATGATATTCAAGTAGACTTATAACGCTTAAATAAACACACATAGCTCAATAATCGTACATTATTTTTCAAGCATCCAACGCCATGTTACTCAGAGTGTTTGCTTTTCCATATGAAGTCGTAGAAAATTAAAATATCTTTCCATCGTGACCACCTCTGTATGGCAGTGGGTCATGGCTTACGTGCAATGGCTCCTATATATAATTATCTCTATTTTTTCCACTACCTTGAAAATGATTGTACAAGAAATGATGGCATGGAAAGAATTATTCGTAACATCCAACAATGCAATTGGTCTTGGATTATTTTGTGAAATATATTATTGTGATAACAAAGTCATTATAGCTGTCAGAAATTATTTATTAACTCATCTAGTGGACGACGGCGATGAAAGGTGAAGTCCGCATAAGAACGGAAATCGGCCCACTAACAATAACCGCTCCAATCGGTCCAAACCTCATCAGAATCACATCCAATTATGATATTCAATGATTTCGACCCTTCCGAGCGCTTTT